CGCAGCCGGTCGGGTGGGTTCGACAGCAAAAGGTCGCGTCCTGCTCGGTGCTGGCAGGGTGTGTTCGCAGCGAAGGGTGCTGGAGCAGGATCTGCTTCCAGGAAGCCAACCCCACTGTGCTTTGGTGCTGGAGGAAGGTAGAAGAAGAGCTTTTCTGCTCAGAGGCTTTTTTTTTGGGGGGGGGGCTCTTGGAAACAGATGCTCTGGGTAATGGCCTCATCATGAGCTCATCCTCTCGGGGAGGAGGGCTGAGCGGGATTGACGGGGGGACACGGCTGAGTGTTTTCTCTCTGTCACAGCCTGTGATTTCCACCGTGTGCTGCTGGCCCCTCCTCGCTCACGTCCGAGGCGAAGCGGCAGCGTGCCGCGGGGAGGAGGTGGCGCGGAGGGGACAAAGGTCTCACCGGTTGGGCAGAGGGGAGAAATGGCAGCATTTGGGAGTCACCAGGTCCAGGCATCAGTGGGATGCTGAGCTCTGCCTGCTCCTCTCCTCCTTGTCCTGCCCTCGCAGTCCTGGGACCATTTGTGGGGACATCATCTGCTACTGACCCGTAGGGAGCAGGGAGGGGGCAAAAGGACATCTCTGAGACATCCAGACCCCAAACCTCACGGTTGTGAATGGTGCGAACATCTCATCTGGGAAGGGGTTTGGGATGAATGTGGGGCAAAGCCCTTTGACTTAGTCCTCTCAAAGTTCCCTCTCCCAGTGGAGGCTTGCTCCAAACCCAGGCTGTTGTAGGTCTCCCTTCATCCCCATCACTGTCATTTCTGGCACATCTCCAACCACAGCCGGAGCCCAGCACACCTTCCCCTGTATGTATCATAGCAAGCAGAGAAAGGTTCTGGACTGACAGCCCCAGACGCTGAGGTTTGCTGCCAACTCATGGGACAGGTCCGGGGAACGTTCCCCATTCTCCGTCCTTGGTCTTAGGGAAGTGGGTGGCAGCAGCATAGCTCCTGGGGTGTTTTGAGCCTGTTGCACTTATTTTTGTTGAATGGGGACTTCTCCCATCCCTACTGTTGGTATTCACTAGCAGGGATTAGAACAGATGAACCAAAGGCAGGTGACACCAGAAGTGTGTCTCAGGCTGCCCCAAAGTTGTTGTCCCAGTGGTTCTCCTGGGGTCAGGAGATGCTCTCCTCCAAAGAGGAGAGGTTGCCCCAATCAACTAGGCAGGAGGGGTTGACCCAAATCAGCTAATGGCCTGTGTAATATCTGCTTTTGCAGGTGGTTGCTTTTGCCTCGCTTTTCTTCATCCTGGTCTCCATCACAACCTTCTGCCTGGAGACGCACGAGGCCTTCAACATCGATGTCAATGTGACGGAGACCCTCGTGGTTGGCAACACCACGACGATCCTGCTGACGCATAAAGTGGAGACGGAGCCCATCCTCACCTACATCGAAGGGGTCTGCGTCCTGTGGTTCACCCTTGAGTTCCTGGTTCGTATCATCTGCTGTCCAGATAAGCTTCTCTTCGTTAAAAACCTGCTCAACATCATTGACTTTGTGGCCATCTTGCCTTTCTACCTGGAGGTAGGTCTCAGTGGCCTGTCCTCCAAAGCTGCCCGAGATGTACTGGGCTTCCTACGGGTGGTACGTTTTGTCCGGATCCTCCGGATCTTCAAGCTGACACGGCACTTTGTGGGTCTCCGGGTGCTGGGCCACACGCTCCGGGCCAGCACCAACGAATTCCTGCTCCTCATTATCTTCCTTGCCTTGGGGGTCTTGATTTTCGCCACTATGATCTACTACGCCGAGCGGATCGGAGCCAAGACATCCGACCCCCGTGGAAGCGACCACACTCACTTTAAGAACATCCCCATTGGGTTCTGGTGGGCTGTGGTCACAATGACGACCCTGGGCTACGGCGACATGTACCCCAAGACCTGGTCGGGCATGGTGGTGGGGGCTCTCTGTGCGTTGGCCGGGGTGCTCACCATCGCCATGCCCGTGCCTGTCATTGTCAATAACTTTGGGATGTACTATTCGTTGGCCATGGCCAAGCAGAAGCTGCCAAAGAAGAAGAAAAAGCATATACCCCGTCCGGCCCCGCTGGACTCCCCTACCTACTGCAAATCCGACGAAAACTCCCCCCGTAACAGCACCCAGAGCGACACTTGCCCCTTGGCAGTAGAGGAAGGGGCGGCTGAGCGGAAACGGTCAGGTGAGACCCCGAAGGTGGGGTAGAGGGAGGGGGAGACCTCCGGGAGCCCCCATTGCAGCATTTTTGGTCCCCTGTGTCCCAGAGTCCCTGGGGACTGCCCTGCTGCAGGACAGGGCCCCCAGCTCTTGGGTTGGTGAGAACTTGGTGCAGAAAGGGCTGGGGCCCTTGGGTGTCTGGGTATTGGGTGCTATATTGAGGGACCAGGATGCTGCAGATCAAGATCCCACCTCCAGGCAGGGGGGAAAGGACGTATCCTGCTCTCCTAATGGCATAGAGCAAGTCACCATGATGTGATTCGAGGTGTCCCTGCCTAGCCCACCTCTTCCTCACGCTGACAGTAGTTAAGACCATTCGCCCGATTCCCATCTTAGCCTGGTAATGCCCTTGGGGTGGATTTTCTTTTGCTTCCTCCCACCATAAATCAGGGCAAGCTTCACCAAAATGGATAAATCCATGGATATTACCTGGAGCTTCACCCTACCTCCCCATTCATCTTCCAGTAGATGCAGCATCCCTGCATGGCAAGGTCAACGCCACTCCAAATGTTGTGCTCAGGCAGGAGCAAAATCAGCCCCTGTGCATTTATTATTTGGTTTCATGCACTGAACTAAAGTTTGGGGTCTGGCCAGTCTTTCCTTCAGGTCAGGGGAGGGCACGGCCCCAGCTGTGGGCAGTCGTTGGTGGGCAGCATCGCCTGGGCTAAGCTTGGGGGACTGCAAGAGCCCTCCTGCAGGATCATTGCTGGCCACGGAGGCTGCTTTGCCCTTTTCATCTTGGTTTGCTGCCAGCAGCACCTCCGGAGGAGCCAGCTTTGCAGTGTGGAAAGAGGAGGGACCACGGAGGAGTTGGGTCCTGCGCTGACGTGGCGTTCACTGAGGTCAGCCCTGAGCAGCCGCACATCTGGCCATGTGTGTTTAACAGTGGTGGTCCTTCACCCACGGGGGCACAGGGAGCTCCGAATGCCCCAGCTGGGTGTTTTCCTTTATAAATCTCCCTCTTCCATGTGCCTATGCATCCTGCCTGCCCCAGGAGCCTTGGCAGCGGGGAGCAGAGAGAGTAGCTGTCCTGCTCTGGAGGAGCAGCTCAACCCCATCCCTTCGCTCCAACACAGATCCAGGAGCTCAAGCCAGACCCTCACCATAGCATCCCCTCAGCTAACGAACCACAGAGTCAGCTGACATAAATTAGCACTTCACCACTACCCTGAGCAGCCCGTGTTTCAGCAGTGTGAATTTTGGAGAGCTAATTGCCACTAATTAGGTGGGTGGATCTCAAAGACCAGGGGCATTTCTTCCCTGGCAAAGCCTGCCAGGGTATATAACCCTCAGCAGGAGTAAAAGCTGCTGCTTCTTGCTGCTTGGGATTAGAATCTGGCCTGGTCCTGCTTGCCTGGTCACTCTAAGTTATCCAGGCTGGGATCATGGGTGTTGCTCTGGGCCACCTGCACTCTGGTCTTCTGCTTCCTTGCGTGGACCAAGCAAACCCTTCTGGCCACCCCAAGCACCTCGCCCTGTGGGTTTGTCAACTGCTGATGGGTCTCTGCCACCTTCTTGCAGACTCTAAGCAGAACGGCGAGGCCAACGTGGTGCTGTCAGACGAGGAGCAGCCGCTGTCGCCGACCGATGAGGAGAAGCGGCCCATGCGGCGCTCCAGCACCCGGGATAAGAACAAGAAATCCTCCACGTGCTTCCTGCTGGCCACGGGTGACTTCTCCTGTGCAGCGGATGGAGGCATCCAGAAAGGTATGGCTGATGCTGGGAGGTGTGAGCTGACCTGTGGGCTGGGGAGGATGAGATGGAGGAGTGAGGTGGAGGTTTGTTGCATCGATCCGAGTCAGTGGTTCATCTCCATCTGCCTGCCTGGCTGTTGTTCTCTGCTCCCCAAATCCACTTGTCTTCCTGCCTCTCCATCTGCTTCATCGTTGTCCACCATGTCTGCCTGTGCTAGCTCTGTCCTTTTTGTTTTCTCCTCCCCCAAGTTCTCCTCCCCTGGTTGCCACCGTTGGGGGTCTGTGACCCTGTGCTGGCTGCACTGCCCTCCTTGTGGACAGGTCTGTCCCTTTGCTCCCCAGTGCTCCAGCTCTTCCTGTCCCTCCAGCTCTTCTCCTTGGCCTTCAGTCACCCGTCTCAGGGTGGTGTGAGTGGGACATCTCTCCTGGAGATGTGCTGAGGTTGTGACTGAAGGCAGTCAAAAGGTTTTCAGTAGGGAAAAAGATCCACGGGCTTTTCCTTTCCTCTCCCCCTCTGATGTCTTTCGGTGGGTTCGAGCGTGGGGAACAGCGATGTGTCAAGTGCTGCCTTGCCAAAAGCACGGGGCTGCCAGAAAGGCTGTCTCCTCTGGGTTTGGAAAGTGAGCTTTGCGAAGTGTGGAGGTTCTCTATGGGAAACTGTGGGGGAGATGAGTCAGGAAAACACGAAACTCTTCTTCCCATGACAAAACACGAGTCCTCTTCAGCCTGGTCCCTTCACGCTGTCCTCCAGCCTTCTCTGCTCCACCAGTGAGCGTGCCCTGGGCCCGTCTCCCAGCCCCCCAGCCCCTGGGAAGGTAAATCCAGGGCCTGCCTTGAGCCACAAAATCCAGCTGCACCCTCAAGTGCTGGGATAATTCTTAGGATGCGGCTCAGTTTTTCAGTTCTGCAGTTTCTCTTGTGCGTCCGGGGTGGTGTGGGATGATGTACCTCCAGAGCCGACCTACCTCTGCCTCCTTGGTACCGTCTAATGCCAGTTACTCACAGGGAATGGTGCATGTGAGCTGGGACCAGGCAGGAGAAAAGATGATGTGCTGTGTCTCTGAGCTGCACACCAAGACCCGCTGGCTCCTGCTGGTGGTGCTTTGGAGGCCCTCAAGGGTTTGTTGCTGTAGCACTGCTTGGGATGGTAAAGACTGGATGGGCTTGGGACGTAGGGAGGTGTTTGGGGGCAATCACAGTTGTTACATTAGTAGAAGCAAATTGGTTGCTTCCTCCTGGGACATCAAGGATTCCCTTTCTGCTCAACCACGTCCCTTAGAAAGAGGAAAAAAAATGAAAAGCTTTGCTCATCTTTGGGCAGAAGAGTACTGTACAAATATTTGCTTGAAATGCCTCATGCTTTTTTCCTGGAAGTGCCTTTTTCTGTGAAGTTGGTCTTTTTTCTTAGTGCCTGCTAATGCGAAGAGGTGAGGGGGCTCTAGTCCTGCTCCAGACTGGAGGGGGATGCTGAACTGGAAAGGATGAAGGAGAGGGATGAAAGCCCATGCTGATCTTCATCCTTACAAGATGCTCAAGTGAGGCATCTCTTCAACTGAAGCATTTGAGCTTGGTCCCACTGAAGCCAGGAGAAGTAGTGTAGATCTAAGAGCTGAGGATCCAGTGCTGCTTTCGCTGGGCACCCAAATCACATTACTTAGTTGCAGGAGACCAGGAGCTCCTTCTTCTTGCATGGTGGCAGCAACGGCCATTTGAAAGGCCACTTCGGTGACCTTTTTTTGGTTTGTTCTGGTGTCTTTGCCACAAATGTCAGAGTGCTATTTAAAATTAAAAATAGATGTGTACGTGGGTCACTTACCCCCACCTTGCTGAAATGGTCTTGCCCCTGGAGAAAGGTGGATCTGGTGTCCAGAGGGGCAAGAGTGATGTGCGAGACCTTTTGGGAAGAGGGAACCTCATTATCTGTGTCCTGCTTGGGCTGTTGGGGATGGACCGGTGGGATGCTGTCCCGGGAGGTCAGGGCTGATGTCTTCCCTGGTGAAATGCTCCAGTGTGGTCAGGGCTAGTGGTGACCAGAGATGATCAGAGGGGCAAGGCAGCCAAAAGCTGTTGGGAGAAGTGGAGGCGCCTCTTCTCTCGGTCCTGATTTATCTCCTGCTGAGCCTGTTTGTTCTGGTACTGGGATGTTGGCAGCTCTGCAAATTGAGATGAGCTTGGTTCTGAGCCCAACTTGCTGATGGCCATCTGTCAGATCCTGGGACAGGTACTGATGTCTGTACAAGCTGTGGAAATCAGGAGATGGAGCTGGTTCAGGAATGTGCTGCAGATCTCGGCATCCCTCGTGGTTTGAGCCCGATTCCAGCGGTTGGTCTTGTTGGGGGCAGCTCATGCCCCTGCCCACCTGGGGCCTGGAGAAGACTGAGCTGGACTGCAGGGGATTGCCATGTGGCGTGTGTTTCTTGTCCCTATTTGCTGCTCCTGGTGGTGTCACCTTGCTCCTGGAGATGGCTTCAGACCCCTTATCTTCCTTCAGCACTCAGGTCCTGCTCAGCAGTTCTCCAAAACGTGTCTTGCTGGGGCCCAGACGTGTTGGCATGGGTCTGTCCTGGCACGTGGGCCCCCGTGCTCTGCTTGGATGGAGGGTTGTGGAGGCAGGATGAGTCCAGCATTCCCCATGCCAGCAAGACTGGTTATGATGGTGTAGTGATTGAAACCAGAGTGGGATTTCCAGAGGAGCCACGGGCAACGGGGTTAAATGGAGGGAAGGGGATCTACCCTCCTGGCAGGTCAGCTCTTCCAGCCGCTCCCTTTGACGGCACCACGGCGTGGCAAAGCGGCAATTTTTCGCTTGGTTGCCAGAACCCAGAGCATCGTGCAGCTGATTTTTTTTTTTTACTCTGTCGCAAAAACCGTGCAGGGCCACGACCGGCACGTGGCTCAAGCGGTGTGGGATCGAGTGTGTGTGGGGGGGATGCTCACGTGAGCACCCACCGACGACGCTTGACTGGCGGCGGGGGGGAGCGAGGACAAGCCCACGTTCGCACGGGGACACGCGTGCGAGGGCACGCAACAGGCAGACGAGCGCCAGGCCGCCGGTATAAACAAGCCCAGGCGTTCCCGGGCAATGCTGCCTGTTGGCATTACCCCGGCCCCATCTGCTGCCGGCTCGGAGCGTGTGTGAGCGTGCACGTGTGCACCGGAGCTGCCAGTGTTTGCACGTGGGGAGCGTGGCACCGCCAGGTTCCCCGGGAAGAGCCCCCGGGGGTTACACGCTGTCCCACCGCCCTGTTGATAAGATGCCTCCGTACGGCTCCTTGGCAACAAACCCGTTTATAAAGCGATCCCGGTGACCTCCGTTAGCACCTGTGCGAGTTGCTGGGATACCGGCTCCGTTAACGAACGGCACCGGTGGCAATTAGCAGAGCACAACCCCCTGGCGCTTTGCAGCTTCGCTCCGTGGTGGCGCCTGACCCTGAGCTTGGTGGAAAACCGCAATGGCCTTGAGGGACGGAGTCCTGAGCTCCTTCCCAGGTGCTCCCATGAGGATGGTTTGGGAATAAATCGATGGAGAAAATGAAACGTTTGGCTTGGACCAGGTTTGCCCTTCGGAGTCCTGTTGCAGAGGGGCCCTGGGGCAATCGAGCATCGTGATGATGTGCTGCCCCGAACTGTGATGCTGGAGACTTAATCCAAACTGGCAGCATGATTTTGGCCCTGTTCCTATGTCCATCTCCATCCTTTCCTATTCAGTGATCTGAACAAGAGGGCAAAGAGCATCCCTAAGAAGTGCTCAACCACAGCAGCGTGTCCTTGCATCGCCAAGGCAGCTTCCCGCAAGCCCCGACCCCGTAACACCTCTCTGCCAAACCGACATTGTTTGGGTGCTGGATCCATCGGTGACCCCAAGCTTCCAGGGACTGGTTGCATCTCGGCACGATTGCTTCCCACGGGCATGGCTCAGGGTGGCGGGGAAATGCGTGAGCTCTCCAAAGAGCCTCAGCGCTCCCGGGAAAAGAGCAAGGTCTGCTGAAGGATGAGCCTGATGCTGGGGTTTTTTTTTGAGGGGGGGGGAGCAGCAGAGGGGCTTTGCATCAGCTGCTGTAGGTGGGAAACATCCCCGGCTCGGGATGGGGCTCCCCTCTCAGCTCAGGGCTGCGCTTGCTTCCCTCCTCGCTCGCTGTGTGGATTCATGCCAAAAAGTAAATAAGGAAATTGCTGTTCTCTTTGGGGCCTGATTCTGCTCTGGCTTCCACCGCAGGAGCTGGAAAAGCTTTGCTGAAGTCAGCAACAGGTTTAGGCAGACAGCCCTCTGTCCCCTGGACCTTTCTCTGGAGCTGGAGGAGCCGAGTCTCCTTGAGGGGGGGCGAGTTATGGGAAGCAGTTGAAGACTCCCACGCCTCCCTGCCAGCTGCTGTGGCTGGGAAATGATTAGGGGAAAAAAAATATAAAAAGGGGATAAAAATCAGATTTAAAGAGGTAGTGCTCTGGAGCCTTTTCCAGACGATGCTCGTGGCTCAGCATCCTCCTCGGGGGGGTGTGTGTGGGGGTGACGCCGTGATCGCTCCAGCGTGAGCATTGATCCCTGAGCCAAGCCCAAACCGGCCAGGCCAGGCCAGCACTCGCCGTCGGTGCCTCCGCATCAAAGCAGAACCCAAAGATGAGCCAATAAATCCCTGGGGATGGATGGACAGAGGGACAATTTCCAAGCTTGGCACTGCCGGAGGGGCCATCCATCACCTTGTTTTTCTGCTGTCAGGGAGCCGCCTCCCGCCGCTCCCCCCCACGGACGCACCCGCGCTCGCTCGCACGCTCCTGCTTTCTCCAGAGCTCGCTGGGGCTGGCGGGGAAGGCAAAGGCGAGGCTGGAGTTGCTCGCGCGGGCGCTTTCAGGGAAGATGCAGCGACCGTGGCACAGCGCGGGGCGGTTGGGCTCATCACGGCCAGCAGCATCCTTAATTTTCCGTATTTTGGCAACAGAGATGTCCCTGCAAGGTGCAGCGATCTGGAGAGCAGATCTTGGGGTTCATCTTTGGACACGGCTGCTGTTCGGACTTAA